CGCATGCGGTTCCACCCCCCATTTCGGCACACCCCTCACACGCTTCGTGGCCCCATAGGGAGCTCCACCGAAGGCCCCAGTGGCTGCGCTCGCATGCGGTTCCACTCCTAATTCTGGCACACCCCTCACACGCTTCGTGGCCCCATAGGGAGCTCCACCGAAGGCCCCAGTGGCTGCGCTCGCATGCGGTTCCGACACGGGCGTCGCGGCGTGCGGGCGCTGCCATTGGCATTTCTGGGGGGGGGGGGCTCCTCGCGGCGGCCACAGTCAATTTCACAAGTACTCAGAACCAGTTATACTCAAACCGTTCACATTCATATAACATTACACTGAGCTTGGTCATGCTCCCATTCATGAACATAGACTCGCTCGCACGCAATCCCATTCACAAACAGACGCACTCGCGCTCAGACTCATCCGCGTTCAGTCTCTCGTATTCAGAAATGTAATTTTCCTTCGCGTTGTGTGCCCCCGCCACACATTTCGGCACGCCCTTCATGCGGTTCGTGGCCCCATAGGGAGCGCCACCGAGGAATATGTCCACAATTGCGGTATTCACAACTACGTATGGTTGGGTCTTTCGTCAGGCTAATTTTGAATGCGATGCTCACGTTCGAGCGATTCGGGATTGCGCCGAATCCAGTCCCAGCCGCCAGCAATCATTTCAAGACTGCTCGGTTTATTCAAGAGGCCTACGCCATTCCGCAGACTCCAAGGGGAGAGCGTAAGTGCATGGGTGAGGCCTTGGGGCCTTGTGGGGTCTCTTGGATTGTAAGGGGGCGTTTTGCGCGCGTCTTCGACGCGGGACGCGCTTCGGGGCGTCTTGCTCGTCGGCAGCCAAACTGCGGTTTCGAGTGTCCTCCTGGGAGGCAGGGCTGGAAGTGGCTGTTTTAATTTCCTCCCTAAGGCATGGGAGGAGGGGGAGGATTCTGGAAGATTTTTTGGGAGAGGATGAGCAGGATGAGGAGGATGAGGGGGCTTCTTGGGGCGAGTTGGGCCTTCTTGAGGGCCTGTGTGGGGCATCCAGGGGGTTCCGTGGGGACTTCTTGGAGCGCTTCGGGCATCGCCATTGAGCTCGTGGGGCTTTATGGAGGTGAGACTTTCGACATATCTGTTCAGGCTTCCCCTCAGGGCCTCGGTCTTGGGGCCGTCTGGAGGGCGTCCTGGGCCGTTTTGGGAGCTTCTTGGGTTGTGTGGGCGCCTTCTCATGCAGTTGCTGGGCTCTGTTGGGGTTTGCGGGCGTGTCGAAAAGCGATCTTGTGGGCCTCTGGGGCCGTCTTGGAGCGCTGGGAGGCAGAATACGCGAGTATGCGAACATGTATCAAACACTGAAGGAAAATCAATGATGGGAGCCCCTTTGGGCTGGAGCCCTCTTGGAACTGTTTCGGGTTCTCCGTGGGTTTCTTTGCGCCTCTAGGAAACCTTTGGGGGCCTCTCGGGGGCTTCTTGGGCGCCCGCTGGCGGTCTCGGGGGTTCTCTGGGTGGATGGCTCGACATGTCAATTTGAAATTCCTCTCTCGGGTCCCTCTTGGGACCCTCTTGGGCCGTCTTGGGCGCTCCTTGGGTCTTCTTGGGGCTCTCTTGTGCCATCTAGGGGTTCTTTTAAGGGCTTCTCGGCCCGTCTGGGAGCGTTATTGGAGGCCTCCTGGGGACGTCTTGAACGCGGTGGACACCAAGAACGCGAGTCTGCTAAAGATGTCAGCCAGCGTGGACCCCCAGAATTGATTTCTTACAATCTATGCGGTGCAGTCCAGGTGGTACACTCAAAGAGGTGCAATGTAGGTGGTGCAATCCATGTGGTGCGATCTATCATGTGCAAAGCAGTGCAAATCAGTGCAAAGCAATGCAAAGCAACAGCCGTGCTATGCTATGCTATGCTTTGCTGTACGAGTGGACGAGTGCGAGTGGACACGTGGCGACGGACGGCGGCGACGGGCGGCATTGAGACGGTCGGACTGGCACTGGGGCTCAGTTGCAAGTGGCAGCTACGGACGGCGGCGACGGCCGGCGATGAGCTGGCCAGACCGGCATTGGGGCCCAGTTACCTTAGAGCCCAAACATAGAACCCCTAAGCGCAAGTATTGTCTGGGGAAAGCACGTTTCCCTGAAAGGTTGCGATGATTCTGACAGTATTGTCTGGGCGATTTCTGTCTCTTGGGACCCTTTCTGGAGCCCTCTTGGAGCCCTCTTGGGGTGCTTGGAGGCCTCTTGGGCAGTCTCGAAGCCATTTCTGATATTTTCGAGGCCTCTTCGGCGTATTCGAGCCTAGCTTGAGCCAGCTGAAATTACATCTGGGTCCTCTTGGTGGCCACGGAGTGAGGATCTGGGGATTCTGGAGACGCCCCCACCCCCCAGGCTCCCCGCCTGGGCCCCCCCCCCCTCAAACAGGACGTTCGACCCCATGGGAGGGGAAAGGGGGGAAGGGTCAGGAGGGAAAAAACACACAGACACAATTAATCGTCGATCCCCAGCAAAATATGGGAAAATATGGGAAGTGGGGGGGAAGACAAAAACCCAGAAAATATGGGAAAATATGGGAATATTTGTAGTTGTGTGTATTTATTTGTGTGTCCCAGGGCCCCTTCACCATGGGAGGGGAAAGGGGGGAAGGGGACAGCCAAACGTCTCACACGCCTTGTCACCCCCGGCGAGCGGGGGTCGGCGGATGAATTCGCGCGTCATCGAACCTGTGCATCGCATAGCCCTGATTCCCGCAGTCTTCGTCTTTGAACGTGCCCCTTTTTGGGGCTCCTTTTTTCATGCCAGCTCGCGGTTAAGTCACGACAGGGTAAGACAGGCGGGTCGGACGGGCGGACCCTAGCGAGCGGGTCGGGCGGGCGAACGCTAACGGACACTTCGCGAAAGCGGACCTTGTGTGGCGGGCCAACGCGTATTGAGAGGGCGACTATCCCATGGTGGTTACTGAGGCAGAACGAATGGATAAGGATAAGAAGGATGACGAGGAGGAACATGATGATGATGATGATGATGATGATGATGATGATGATGATGAGGATTATGATGATGATGAGGATGAGGACGATGCTGCTGCGGATGATGCTGATGATGATGCTGATGCTGATGCTGATGATGATGCAGACGATGCTGATGATTCTGATGCTGGTGATGATGCTGATGATGATGCTGATGCTGATGCTGATAATGATGTCGATGCTGATGATACTGCTGCTGATGCTGATGATGATGCTGATGCTGATGCTGATGCTGATGATGATGCAGATGCTGCAGCTGCTGATGATGCTGATGATGCTGATGCTGATGATGATGCTGGTGATGATGCTGATGATGATGCTGATGATGATGATGCTGCTGCTGATGCTGCTGATGATGATGATGATGCTGATGCTCCTGCTGCGGTTGATGATGATACTGATGATGATGATGACGATGATGATGCTGGTGCTGCTGATGCTGCTGATTATGACGATTCTGATGCTGCTGCTGCTGCTGATGATGTTGATGTTGCTGCTGCTGATTATGATGTTGATGATGATGATGAGAAGGAGGAGGAGAAGGAGGAGAAGGATGGGGAGGGGGGCGAGGAAGATCAGAAGGAGGATCAGCAGCGAGAGGAGAAGTGGGAGGCGAAGGAAAAGGAGGAGGATGAGGGGAGAGGGTGAGGTGAGAGGATGGAGAGGAGTGGGAGGGGGAGGGAAGGGGAAGGGGGGAGGATGAAGGCGCGCGTGAAGCGTGACCTCCCTTCCCGGGAACAGGACTCCGAAGTCCCCGAAGTCTCACGGTGGCAAACTGCATCAAGTCGCACGAGCTCCGCAAGTTTATGATGCTCATCGCTTGGGCGTGCTGATCAAAACGTGATCTATCCATGACGGCAACCGCGTGCCGCCTGCTGCTGTTAGGTAATCACTTTCAGCTCATCCATCGCGCGTTTGGAATCAAATGAGGTCTGCTGGGAGATTCGCACAGCTGTGTCACGCCAAGCATAATACCTTCGCGTGTTCTTGTGTGGTCGCCCAGCCTTTTGGCCTTGTGAGCCATCGACCCGTTCGTGCGGGTGGTTCCATGCGCAGATATAGGCGTGAATTATCGGAGGTAGGTTTGATCTTCGATTCCGTCTGTATCAGAAGCATGGCGTGGAGGCAAACCCACTTTGAGCCAAGGCGGCAAGGCGAGGTAGGAAGGGGAGGGGGGGGGGCAAGATCCAAGGACAATCGATGTTTTTTGCTTTCTCGCCGTTTCGCTTCCGATGTCCATCCGAGGCCTCGAGATGGCTTCCAGATGGCCCAAGAGGGCCCCAAGAGAGGCCCACGAGAGCCACAAGACGGCCCCAAGAGCGCCCAGGAGCGCCCCAAGAACGCCCCAAAACGCGCCCTAAGGTGCGACTTTTTGGGCCCCCGAGGGGCAACGCTAACTGCGACCTTCCCCTTCTGTGATCGACATCCTCCAAGATGGCCCAAAGAGGCGCCCTTGAGGCCCCACAAAGCGCCCAAGAGGCCTCCCAAGAGACCCCCAAGAGGCCCCAAGAGGCTCCGCGAGGCACCCAAGGGCGCTCCAAGAGGCACCCTTCCTCTGTGTGCTGCCCACTTCCGTGATCGAGGCAACTCCTCTGGGCATCGTCTCTGGATTGGCTGGCGGGGATACTTTTTGGTTAGCGGGCGCGCGAAACGGGTCGAACGCCGAGCGTGCTAGGGTGGGCCGCGCTGGTAGCGAAGTGAAAAACAGTGCAGGCGTCGGCGCGCGAGGAGCCGCGATACCGACCAGGCGGTCAGCAGCAGAAGAGCGTGCCGAAGCTGAAGACCGCGTGAGCGCAGCAAGCATGGCGAACAGGAAGTACACGAAACGCCCCAAGAGCACGAGGAGGACGCCGAAGAAGATGCAGGCGGACAGTGGTGGACCGTCGCACTGAGCGAATTGCCGCTATGCCAGCGCAGGAGACGCAGCCAGAATGGGGCGAGGAGGGCGACCGGGTGGCCGTAGAGGGTAGCGGTGACGCGCAGGCGGACCCCGTGAAGTAGTACAGACGGCACCCTGGGTAAGCGGAACAAGCAGGAAGGAGGCGGCCGCGCCAGGCGGCAATGTCATGCAGTAGCCGTGACCGAGCACCCCAGGGGCAACCATGCCGTACAGGTAGAACTTCTGATGGCCGGCAGCGACACCGTGAGCCCCGCGAGCGCGAACCAGAAGACAAAGCTGATCGGCCCGAATTGACCGGGCACGTGAAGATGCCCACAGGTGAAAGCCCAGCGCTTACCCGAAGCCATGGAGAAACCTCATCGTGCAGGCAGGACTTCAAAAAGCCGTAGGTTGACCACTTGCGATTCAAGTGCGCGGGCCCGAAGGCAAAAAAGGGGGGGGCGGCGCGGGGGCGCGGGCGCGGGCGGGAGCGGGGGCGGGGGCGGGGGCGGGGGGGCAGGCGGGGGCAGGCTGACTGACTGCGCGACCCTCCAGCGAGAGGGGCCACCTCTCGACGGCAAGGAGCGGCAGCGCGACCATGGGCAGCTCGTGTTGGGCTGCCAGCGGGGCGGCTGCATGCTGCGACCGGCACGAGAGGGCCGTTCAAGTGAGCGCCGCCCAGCCTCTGGTCGCCATGGGGCGTTCGGGGCTCGCGGAAGGTCTCCGGAGCGGCCCAGGAGAGGCCCGGGTGGCTACCGCCCGTGCCGCGATGCCGCCTAGATGGTGCCAGACCGCCGGAAACTATCCACATCTTCAAACGAACAGCCCAAGATGGGACGCAATCGGCCTGGGGGGCTTCCAAGACGCCCCGAGAAGCCTCCAAGAGCATTTTCGAGAGAGCCCGAAGAGGCCAATTCCTTTAATTTTCCATGCGTCTTTGAAGGCTTTTCGGAATCGCGCCTTTTCGGAAGCCCGGCGCGCGACCCCAGGGGCCCCCAAGATCTCTCCAGAGCCGCTCCGGGGCGTCTCCCGAGCGGCGTTGGGCGGGCCCCAGTGATGTTTCAGCACCAGGAATGGTTCCCATCTTCGACCCATGTCGCCGAAGCACGTGGTAGAGGTTTCGGGGGCCTCCAACATGGCTCCGTACGCTTCCAGGAGCACTCCCAAGAGAGCCCCAGGAGGCCATTTTTTTGTTCTTTTTTGTTTTTTTGTTTTTTTTGTTTTTTCTCGTGGGTTTTGGGAGGATTTAGGCCTTCTGTTTTTTTTTCGGTTGCACGACGCTCCAAGACGGCCCAGGAGGTCTCCAGGTCCGCCCCCAAGCAGCCCCAGAGGCTCCCAAGACAAGCCCAAGGCGGCCCCGGAGAGCCCAAGGTTGGCCCAAGAAGCGCCCACGACAGCCCAAGAAGGCTCCAAAACAAGCCCAAGAAGGGCCCAAGAGAGGGACCGCGTACCGATCACCCAGGGCCCCCGCCTCAACAGCGACCCCGGAGGCCCCAGGCAGCCCCCCAAGAGTCCTCCAACATGGCTCCAAAAGCTTCCAAGATCACTCCCACGAGGGCCCCAGCAGGCCAAACATTGATGGCTTTACAATAGTTTTGGAAGGGTTTTGGCCTTCTGATCTTTGCGGCTGTCCGATGCTCCTAGGCGGCCCGAGGGGCCTCCGAGACCGCCCCCAAACAGCTCCAGAAGCACCCAAGGCCGCCCCGAGGCGGTCCCGGAGAGCCCAAGGCTGGCCCAAGAAGCGCCCAGGGCAGCCCACAAGTGCCCCAAAACAGGCCCGAAAGGGGTCCAAGAGACGGACCGCGTCTGGAAAACCCAGGGCTTCCGCTTCAAGAGAGCCCCAGGACGCCCCAGGTAGCTCCCAAGAGGCTGCAAACACGGCTCAAGACGCTTCCAGGAGCATCCCCAAGAGGGCCCCAACAGGCCCAAATCGTTCATTTTATGTAGGAATTGGAGGATCTTGGCCTTCTTGTTTTGCCGTCTTTCCGACGCTCCAGTAGGGCCCAGCGCGCCTTCAGGTCCGCTCCCAAACAGCCCTGGGCCTGGAGAGCCCCGGGGAGCCCGCAAGACCGGCCCCACGCAACCCAAGAGTTCCTCGGCAGGATCGTCTGGGAGGGGGGGAGCCGGGGAGCCTCTGGCGCACCACGCTCCGGGAACGCTCCTCCGGAACATGGCGTGCGAACGTGGGCGGCATGCACTCGCGCGCGCACACGCACACACATATATATATACACATATATATTTATATATGTATATGTATATGTATGTGTATATGTATATGTATATGTATATGTATATGTATATGTATATGTATTTGTATATGTATATGTATATGTATATGTATATGTATATGTATATGTATATGTATATGTATATGTATATGTATATGCATATGTATATGTATATGTATATGTTTATGTTTATGTATATGTATATGTATATGTATGTGTATATGTATGTGTATATGTATGTGTATGTGTATGTGTATGTGTATACGTATATGTATATGTATATGTATATGTATATGTATATGTATATGTATATGTATATGTATGTGTATATGTATTTGTATATGTATATGTATATGTATATGTATATGTATATGTATATGTATATGTATATGTATATGTATATGTATATGTATAGGTATATGTATATGTTTATGGTTATGTGTATGGTTATGTTTATGTTTATGTTTATGTTTATGTTTATGTATATGTATATGTATATGTACATGTATATGTACATGTATATGTATATGTATATGTATATGTATATGTATATGCATTTGTATTTGCATATATATATATATATATGTATGTCGGGGTGCATGGCCAGGGCCTCCGGGCAGGTGCCTCTGGTCGCCATGGGGTGTTCGGGGTTCGCGGAAGGTCTCCGGAACGGCCCAGGAGAGGCCCAGGTGGCCACCACCCGTGCCGCGATGCCGCTTCGATGGCGCCAGACCGCCGGAAACCATCCGCATCTTCAAACGAATGGCCGAAGATGGGGCGCAAACGGCCTGGGGGACCTCCAAGACGTCCCGAGACGCCTCCAAAAACATTCCCGAGAGAGCTTTTTCCATGCGCCTTTGAAGGCTGTTCGGAATCGCGCCTTTTTGGAAACCCGGCGCACGACCCCAGCGGCCCCCGAGACCGCTCCAACATGTCCCCAATGCCCCAATAGGGCCCCAAGACGACCCCAGAGGCCCCAAGATAGCCCAAGAGGCGCCCAAGACGGCCCGAGCGCGCCCTCGGACGGCCCCGAGGCGGGGCGGGCTCCAGGGAGGAACCACGAACAGAAATCTGAGCGTTCCGCTTCAAGAGGGCGCCAGGAGATCCCGACAGGCCACCCCCAGAGGCACCGAGAGACCCCCAGGATGCCCCAAGAACCCCCCAAGAGGCCCCCAACAGGCTTCGAATAAGCCCCAAAACAGCTCCCAGGATGCTTCAAAACTGACTCCATGAGCCAAGTACGAAAACGGCGAAGACGCCGATGAGGAAAACGAAAGGACGACGAGGGCGCCAGCGACGACGAGAAAACCGACGACGACGACAACGACGACGACGAGGTCGACGACGATGACGACGATGGCGGCGCCGACGACTTCAGCGCTCTCTCCAAGGCCCCAGACGGCGCGCGCTACAGCGCCGCGCGGAGCGCCCAGAAGAGGGGCAGAAAAGGACGAGGGAGGAAGCATAACGGAGAAAGCAGCACAGCAGGACGATGAGGATCGGGGATCTCCGTTCCCATGTTCCAGAAGTGCGCTTCCGGAACACGTGGCTTGCAGTGCGCGCCGCCGTCTTCGTGGTAAGAATCGTCGCGGGCATCGCACTTGAGCGGTGGCCTCAACTAGAACCTGAGCGCGCGCGAAGCGCGCGATGATTCTTGTATATGTATATGTATATGTATATGTATATGTGTATGTGTATGTATAGGTATAGGTATATGTATAGGTATATGTACAT